AATCTATATGAGAAAATAAATACAGTATGGTGGGTAACCTAATACCGCACACACCATCGTAATATACACATATTGTTAAGAAAAAAAAAAAAACAAAAAAATTAAAATATTATCTGGCAAAGTAATGCAAAATGCACGAAGGTATATATTATGTATGCGTTTTATGTTTTTTTTTTTTTGTTTTCGCTAGACAAACGTCTCTGTGTATTTTGTCAAAAATATATTGCCTGCAAAACAAGGCAGAGAACACTAATTCTATGATGTTGAACCATAACGACTTGTGTTCAACACAAGTCAATTTGAGTCAATAAGCATAAAAACTGTGTGTTCAAATTAAGGCAACAACATGATCAGCATTTGTGGGTGAAAAGAGCAAAAAAAAAAAAAATGCAACGAAAAAATTAAAAAAATTAAAAAATAGAAACCCAAATCGCAAATTAAAAAACCAAAACAGAACATAAAATCGATATTTTTAGGAAGTTGAACTCTTAAATATCTTGCTTTTGTTCATATTCGTTACCTCGTACAAATCGAAATTAATCAATTCATATACAAAAATATTATGGCTTTTCCTTTACCTATATCTCTGTGTGTGTGTGTGTGTGTGTGTGTATGTGGATGTGTGTATGTGTGTGTGTGTGGGGACTAAATATATTTGCTTATTATTAAATTTGTGCTCAGGCAAGCGTAACTAAGCCACATTATTTGTACATATAAATGTACACACATATATATATATATATATTACAACATTAAGTTCTTTTAGTTTCGGATTTTTCCTCTTTTTTTTTACATTTTAAGAAAAGAAACCAAAATAACAAAAAAAAAAAAAGGTATAACTGAGTGCCAACACGCCTTAAATGTTTTGCTTTTCATTTCAAGTCTCCACTCATGTGCAGAAACAAAAATGTTTGCTTGGCTACGTGCACTTTGGTTTTACAGGTACAATTTCGTTTGAACAAAACATTTTTGCTTTTTTTTTTTGCTTTTTATAATCTTTTATATAATTCACTTTGTTTTTTATTTTTATTATTTATGACCGTTTACTTTAAAGCAATTACAATTTATTTAATCAAATATTTTTTAATGTAATTGTTAATGTGTTGTTCATTTTCTCTTTATGTGAGCAAAGTGTCTGCGGAAAAGAATTATGGGAATTATATTTATTCGCGTTTAGAAGACAATAAGACATAAACAATTATTACGATTCATTTAACGAGGGAATTAACCGCGAAATTTCATTCATAGAAGAAAAGTCTTACAAATTTTGCTAACAAACCTAAATGCATTGGCAATTGGTTTTCATCTTCTGCCTTCATTGATTAGAACCGTCAGTCGCCACTTTCGCTCAACAATAAATTCATAATTTGAAACAACTTGCGCCTGGACAGTCGATGCACTCCCAAATAACCTTAAGTGTGAATTTTTCTTCAAGTACAGAGAGATGAGTACGGAGGGATGGGAGTACGCAGTCTCGCCTAATTACTCGTGATGTCTTATCAAACATTTCACATTCATTCTTCTTTCCTTACTATCCGTCAGTACTGCATTTTATCCATTTGTTTTTTTTTTTTTTTGTTTTGCTGTTGTTCTTGTGTTTTATTTGTTGTCCCCTTTTAGGTACTTAGGTATGTTATCCACTAATAATTCATGATCCATTACCTGATATCTAATACAACGCTGACAAAATCCTCAGCGTGGTACACTGTTATTGACGATCGCATAGAATTTTTAAATAGTACCGCCTATCAAACGAAATGTATCAAATTCTCATAACAATCCGACGACAATCATTTTGATGCCGCTACTTTTGTAATTTGGAAAACAAGCTTCGAATCTGAGTTGAAACACTATTCAATTAAAGCAATAGCTTGGCAAGTGTTGTTTTTTTGTTTTCTACTCTATCGAGATAAATGCTACAGAAGTGGTTTGTTAATTTTAAACGAAGTCGTACAAATGCCGATCATATGTGAACATCATGGCCGCTCAAACTCGACGGTTGATGTGGCGAGCATAAGCAAAGTGTACAATATCGTTTCGGAAGACCAAAAATTGAAGTTGCGCGAAGTCGATGATATGCTAAAGATATCAAAAGGTAGCCCCTTCACCATTTTGCACGAACATTTGCTCAGGAGAAAGCGTTGCTCGCCGTAATTATCGCGACTTTGGAGCTGATTAGAAGAAATGAAGAGAATTTTTTCATGTGAGTGGACAAAGTGATCAAAATCCAGACTTAGCCCTAAACGACAATCACTCATTCGCGAATCTCTAAACGATGCTCACCGGAAAGAGATATGGCTTCAATGCAAGACTCGAGAGTAGAAATATAAAGCTGTTTACCGGTACAGAACCTTTTTTTGAAGTGTTGAACAAACTTTTCTGCAAAAAAAGCTTAAAAATGCAATAGTTCTTATTACTTGTGAAGGCGATCGTGTTGATTAATAAAGATGAGTTTTAACTTAAAATGGTTGATCTATTTATTAGTGGTATTACGACCTAATTGAGTGATATGTTATAATAAAGTAACTGCCCTCCATAATCAGTTCGATGTTCGATTTTATACAAACCTTTATATGCGGGGGCAAAGGGCTGAGCTTGATGAGGGCATGAAACAATTATTCATTATTCAAAGATATCTCCAACATTTTATTCTTTGTCCAATTAACGTACTTCGAAAAATCATATTAATATGTTCTGCGAAACAAATTCATAATAAACCGAAATGAATTCTTGACATATGTTTATACAATTTTCGATTTATTTGATTACAAAAATTATCCGTATACTATAGAAGAGAAATAATCACATTTTCAATAAATCGCATTGAATTAATATTCAGACCGTAAAAGAACTATAGCGGAACACGACCCACCACCATTAAATACACTACACACATTTCACATAAGGATGAAATGGTCGAAAATGTAGACAGACGGACAGGCAGGTTCAGATCGGCTCAGAAAGTCCGTCCAAATCCTTCTGCGTACTTCATACATACATACATGTAAAGTATTCTGATACCACAATCAGTGTATGTCGCCAGAGATTATAAGCCAAAATTATCTGTGCACTGTATGAACCATGGTACTTATTGTACGTTACTAGCATGACCATCACTAACAATATTAGGAAAGTGGGTTAAGGACATATATGAAATACATTTTTATTATGCTCTCCCTCCGACTGCCGACTAGCACCTCAATTAAATAAAAATTGTGTTATAAACAAATTTTCGATAAGTTTCCACCCTAATGTCTCTATATATTTAGTTAGAAGTATACACATGCGCTTACCACATCAATAATGCTTTGTATTCGTTGGCATATAAAATAAAGCCAAAGTTAATAAATAATAAAAATTTATGAAAATTCTAATAAAGCTTTTCACGTAAATGAAGTGAGTAATATAGCATGTAATGCCTTTAAACACGCACACACACATATATGCAGACATTTTAATACAATAACACCAATTATTTATAATGATTGCTTTTTAATGAAAAACTATGACTTTTCGAATATTTTATATTCGATAATTAATAAAAATATACAACTGCAACAACAAAAATCTAATAAAACAAAATTTATTTATTGCGATTATTGTGAATTTTTATTACCATTTTTTCTGTTTTATTTTTTCATTTTCATTACTTACCAAAAAAAAAAAAGTAAAAAAAAAAAAAAAATATAGGGTAATAACAAATTTATAACAAAAGGTGTGTTGAAAGTAATTTATGTTTTCACAAACCTCTAAAAAAAAAAAACTAAAACAGAGTAGCGTTGAGATAGCTAATGAATCGTAAATATTGAAGTTTGATTTTTATATAAATTGTATTGTTTTCTGGTTTTCCATAAACTAAAGATTTAACCGAAACACGTTACAAAATATTTAAATTAATATTTTCTTTAATCCTAAATTATTTATTATTACTTAACTGGAAATGTTATAATCGGACAAGGCCGAACATTGAGTACCCAAAGCCACTTCGTTTAATACAATTCGTCACTTATTTCCGTGAAAAGTACGAGCAATTATTATCCTTCTTCATCAGATTCTTTATATAAGAGGATACACTCTCATGACATGAGCTCATTTAATCAACTCACTTAACATAAGGGCATAAGAGCCAGCAGGGAAGAGGAAATATGTGCAATAAAGCGCAGAAGAAATGCGTACGCTCTTCTGCTATGTAAAGGCTTCCATCCTCTTGTCCTCCTATCTTCTCATTGTCTTCCTATTCTCTCGCTGTAAACTCCCCATTCAATTTCGCCCCTTTTTAAGGGTATAGAAACTAGAGATGGGACTTATGTCTCCCAAACTCAGTAGAATTAATTTCCATGTCAAATTAGTCTTATAGACCGACCCTTCATCAAGAAATATTAAAAGTCAGACTCACTGGCCTTTTGAAAGTTGAATTTTCGCAGTTCCGGTTATAAGCTAGAGAGCTTAAAAAATTTTCCCTTGCAAAGCTTGTTTTCATCATAAAAGCAATAACGAAACATTAATATTATTATTAGTGATTTTCGCTGAAAATTCTTACAAATTATAATATTTTTCAAACTAAGGTAAGGGGTTTGTTCACAAAACCGGTTCGATGTAATCGATTTGTAATAGAGTTACCCCTTGAGCCAAAACACGTTAGTGAACCAAATATAATTCCAAAATTTGTGACGGACAGACAAGCTTACAATAAAAGATGAGTCCATCTTAAGTTCTTCTGGATATTACACATATCCGTGCAATGCTAATCCTACTGTACTGCGATGTGGTGCAGAAGGGTACAAAAATTGTAAAAAAACTAAATTTAGAGAAATTTTTCTTAAAACTTACTTATCCAGCGACAATTGCCAGTTAAAGTGAGGTTTCCTACGTTTGGGTGACCAGTCCGGGCTTAAAAGATTACTAGTCCATGAGCTGCCATCTTGTGAGACTGAGTGGCGAATAACTGGAACAAAGTCTGCAAATATTTTCATGCATGGTAGAGTAAAACAAAGAGAAAGTATGGATAAAATTGTTTCTAATTTTAGAAAATTAAAGCCAATGAAAATTCATTTTTAAACCTCAATTATCATCAATTAAGTTTTATTTAAAGTAATTACATTAATTAGATGTAATAAGGATATAGTTTTATGTATTTTATAATTTGTTCTTTGTAAGCAAGATGCACAATTAGACGATTACATGTAACATTATACGAGACAAACACCAGTTGATATAAGCGATTCTCTCTCTACTTGTTTTGTGTTTGTTTATCTTTTCACCAATTTTTGCTTATCTTTTCACTTTATGTTCCTTTTAATTAGTGTGTTATGTTATTGTACATGTTGTATTAACTTTTCATATATATATATAGATGTACACATATATATATACATATATATATATGTTAGTGTCTCCCTTGTTTTATGATATTTCTGTTTAATGCCTATTCATTGCAGGACAATTGGCGCATAGTAAATGTGGTTTCTATAACACAAAAGGGAATATGAGCGTAAATTAAATTTAATTAATTATCTGATAATACACATATATGAAAATCATGCACAAATATTTTTTTATGAAATTTATGAACTTATTAAAAAATTGAAACGATAATTAAGAAGAATAAAAGAATAAAAATCCAAGCTATTAATGAAGTATAAAAAAAAAAAATATATAAAATATATATAAAAAATTGCATAAAAACAGAAAATTATTAGAGAAAGAGTTTTAAAAAAAACTAATCTTGCTTGACTTGCTTTTTACTAAAAAACATTCCGCTTACCTAGAGGTTTTATTTTTAGTTATTTATATATATGATAACAGCGTAATTGTTACGTAAGAGTAAGTAGTGTCAACTAACTGCTTCCTATTGCATCTATTAAGGATTGTTTAAAAATTCGGTCAAATTCAGTCCTATGTTGAATACGAAAGAAGTAAAAATGGAGACGTTCGAGCTAATCCGCCGTCATTCACCTCACAAACCAATTGCATAAGAAATTGCAAAGTTTGGATTAATTAAGCAGAAGTCAAAAGCGTAATTTGTCACAAGTCGTAGATTATTATCGCTTTTAAAAAAAATCAATTAAGACATGCGGTCCGGCCTCTCCCGCTTTCTAATAAGAAAGCCTTTAAGCAAAGTGTCAATGTGCCATTTCATGTCCGTGAACGTATCAACAGTGTACGTACGGTGCTCAGAGGCCTCATAACCAATCCTACCAGTGATCCCCTAATGCCTTTTTTTTTTGTGAATTGCAAGCGGAAGCCCCATTCTTCTGCGATGGTCTTCAAATATCAAACAAAAAACTATAGTTCTCATGCAAAATGAAATGAAATGTTTTGAGCGAAAAACCATTAGCCAAAAAAGTTGTATAACAAATAATCGTACCTGGTGTGCGAAAACCTTCTTGTATTTTATATATTTCGTTCAATTCCCGAGCACTGCACAATGGTGTATCGACTTGTGTGGTTTCATTAAAGCGCGCATAGTCGATTTCATAAGCCTGGCAATCTTTATTGTAAACTACTACAGGGTCGAAACGATGACCCCACAAAATTTCTGTGTTAATATAGCTCGATCTAGCTTGAGCCGATTGCCCTGTTGACTCTACCGTACCCTCCAAGATTACGACAATTTCAAATTTATCGTGTAATAAATCCGTCGCAGACATATTATATAGCGGCGAGTTCTCATCGATCTTGTGTTCGATGATCATGGGCCATATGAAGAATAAATCGGAACCACATTCATCTGCTCCAATATCAAGTTCGGTAAAATGTTGAGTCATTACTTCGCCCTCCTTGGTGGTGCGCGTACGTATTAATTGAGCCCTAACCCCAGCACCAATGATATGCGATTTACGCATGTCACCCACTCGGAACATTAACGTCAAACAACCATCGCGTTGACAGATCACAGCATGCTTGGAGAATAATAAAGTTTGAGCTCGTTGCTTGGCTCGTGTCATTTTCGCAAACACAATACCCGCCATAAAGGCGGACGACATAACGCCATAAATGGATTGTATACACATCATAAATATCGCTTCCGGACATTCTTCGGATGTCGTGCGCATACCATAACCAATCGTATGTTGCGTTTCAATTGAGAAGAGAAAGCAAGAGGTAAAACAATTTTAACTAAAACACTTGGCTTCCCCCCCTTTTCCCTAAAAAAAAAAAAAAAAAAAAAAAAAACCATCAATGAATATTCTGCTTACACCAATTACCTTAAAACTTTACCTTGATTATCGGGCATATGCAAATCTTCCAGATCGCCATGGGTGTACATGATCAACCACCACAATACCGCGAACGAAAGCCACGATAATATAAAACTCATAGCAAAAGCCAACAACGTCCAGCGCCATTGTGAATCCACGAGAGTGGTGTACATGTCTTGCAAAAACCGCAAACGTCGACGGGTTAAATTTTTTTGGATAACATTACAGTCGCCATTCTTGAACACTGCACGCCTGCGCACTTTGCGCATACTACCAGGGCGAAAATTACGCGATCTGTAAAATGTGTGTGAATGTAGTGTAGCTCTGTACTCATTAGTAGATGCGAAATTGTGTTAGAGCTTGTTTGTCATTCGAGCCAAGTAACAGCTCGAAGGCCAAAGAGTAACAGAATTATATTCGATCGCGACCTTATCTTTTATACCCCCCATCATTGGTACGAGGTGCAGCTTTTTTTCATTTTCCTAGAATTTCCTAGAATCCCATCGAAAATTGAAAAATAGTAGATATATGTTTTCGAATATTTAATAACATTGAGCGGGCGTGGCTGATTTTTGGAGAATTATTTTGTGGGAATTTGTATCATGTATGTGTGTAGTTCACGAGCAATGACCAAAAGAAGCGGAAAGCAAACATGTCATTACTTTCCGTTACGCAGACATGTGGGCATTGTCCAAACTCTTTTTTGCAAATTTATGGGCGATATGTTCCTTTTCGCGGCCAGAAGAGTGCTTACAATAGAAATTGTACCGATGGAGAGACAGACGAACATGCCTATATCGGCTCAGAACTTTATGCTAATCATGAACCTATATAATTTGTAGTTTCTCTGAACTTTACTGGCGGCCGTTGCAGGACGCATATGCGTGACAACATGAATATACCTCGGTATAGATTTGAAAAGCAAGATTAGTTATCGCTCGACTAAAACGCAAAGACAAATAATTTTGAAAAACATAAGCAAAATAGTAAATTTTGTCTACAGCCCTAGCATATGCTGTACAATTTCTTTAATGCTAAACAAATATGTGGATTGTGTTTGTGTGGAGAACAAGGTGTAGATGATATCTTTAATCGTAAAGATTTTTTATGTTCAACAACACATTTGGGGGACTTTATGCAAATATTATCAAAGCTAATTAACACTATGTCTGTGTTCAATGTCAGACACTTTGTAAGTATTATGACTTAATTGATGCAAAAAAAAAAAAAAAACACAGCTGCATGTCTAGCTTACTATGAATTATAAAAAACAAAAACTTTAAATTAAAATAAACCGAATTAAAATAAAATCGCAATTGCCTATCGGCAAGAAGGAAATTTTGACAGTTTGTTTGCCAAATTGCCAAACTAATATGTAATTAAATTCAACTGTAATTAGCATAAATAAAATGAGAGAACGAAAATTTTATTCGTCTTTGAAAATAAAAATTTGAAAAGTAAATTATCTGAAAACTTTAAATACGCATCAATTTAGTTTCAATATTCAAGAAAAGGTAAAAAAATATTAATTAAAAAATAGTTACAGAACTAATTTACATAAAACATTTCCTCATTACAAGCTTCATACACATCAGTAAATCGAAAACCGACCCGACAATAAGTACCGAATTTATTAAGATCACTTCTGACATATAAACCCACATATCAAAACAGCTCTGCATATATGTATGTGTGTGCATATATACAGTCACAGCTGTCCGCAATAATCAGTTGCTTGAGCAAAATCTGTTTGCTTATATCCGAACACATGCTTGCTTTTTTTTCTTTTTTTGTATAAACTCAACAGCGACATTCAACTTGAACTGAGACATGTGTGTGGTTTTCGCTTAAACATTAAACTGTCACTAGCTGTTAAACAAAATAGATCATTACAATAAACACACATTTCATGTAATGTAATAGTTTTGTAATAATCTCGATATCTCTTGCTAACGATGATAATTATGTCATTACTTCATTATCATTTCTATTATTTATATATAATTATTATTAGTAATGTTACTAGTAAAGGAGATAAATAATATAAACAAGGCGGTGCATTGCAATGCTCAAAATATTAACTGCCTTTCTAGCTCAGACCCTAGAATTTGGGCTTTCAGTCTTTGAAGTAGATTTTACACCAGCGGTGCTTTGTGCATAAAAAACGCCTTCAAAATAATCGCAAATGCCCAGTGGACATGTTCTTTTATTAATGTCTGCTATTAAACTGCGATCCCCGGACCGAAAAAATGTCATGCGATGTTCAAATAATCTATCAACTAATAAGTTTATAGCATGATATATATACGCAATTCATAAACTGATGATCGGGATGTGATAAAACTTTGATATATTGTGTTTCGCGATTGGTCTTAGCCTTTAAAAATCGTATGTCATCCTACGAACTTATTGAATCACGCCTTATTCTGTCTTCTCTTCATTCCTTTTCCTTGATTCCGATTTTTCGGCGGAATAGGCCGCCATCTTTGAAGAACTGGCATTGGAATCTCTTTCATAAACTTTTCATTTCTTAGCAGAAATGCTCAGTTGTTTCGATACTCTCTCCGCTTCGTAGGTATCTATGTTGCTTTAGCATTCTTTTGCTTGGAAACGCTTTCAAATGACAACATTTCTTTCAGCTTATCATCAATTTTGTTTTTCTCCGTAATAACGGAAAGCTTGAAGCCAATGGTGTAGTGACGTTCCACCTTAAGATCAGGCAAAGTAATGTAGCCCTTAGTTAATCCTTTTACATCTGCTATCTGAAGGTCGAAAATACCCTCCATTTCATTGTTGATTGTCATTCGAGGGGATAACTTAAAGCACAAATTACACGCCCAGTTAGAACACCCTATCCTTGCTAATCTCAGTCCGTGTTTTAGTAGGGAGATTAAGAGAATGTCACTCTTGACTAAAGTAAACTAAAGACGAAAATTTTGGTTTTTTTTTTTTTTTTAATGCATTCTTGGGAGACAATTTTCAAGTTCTTTAAGTTTGTTAGGATTGTGGTGTAGTTTCGTTAACGAAACACGTTCTTGAACTTTTTAAACTATATTGGAATCAAGTCAAATAATTGGAAATTAATTTACTTAGATTGTCTACTAATTTGTTATACTTTGTTTTAATAACCGGATTTTTATTAAATAATTCCATTTTTTCTTTTTTAATAAATTTTCATAGCTTGATCGCCTACACCGATCGCACGTTCTTTGCAAAGAGCGGGGAAAAAAAACGCTACATATGTCATAATATGTTTATTAAAAACGTTCGTATATCTGTTGTTGTTGTTTTTATTGTTGTTTTTGTTTTTCTTAGTCTTTCTTTTATCGTTAACAATAGCATATATTCTTTTATAATTTCTTAATTAATTGCTTTTGCTATGTGACTGTCACATATATTTGTTAAACAATTTATGGCGTGAACTTTAATTAATTTATTTAAGTTTTAATTAATTTCATATTAATCGCATTAAGAGTCACAAGTTGAATAGCATACTTGACATTATTGCTCATTTCGTTTCATTCAAGCTACGATCAATTTATTGATAAGCACGCAACTAAGAGGATCGCGTTTTGAATAACGAAGGTTAGAGTTTACCATACAGTTAGCGCTTGTATCGATAGATTAACCTTAACCGAATTTTGAATACATTGCAGATAACTTTCTTTTTTCACCTTGAAAGGTAAAAAACATTCAGTTACGTCCTGTCCCGTTTCGGTAATAACTCATCCCGCTAATCGGGCTTGCAGTTGCAAGTGAAGCGTTAACGACTGTCCCGACATAACTATAAAGCTCCTTTTATCTGTTATAGTGGAAGACATTTTACATTCTTGCCAATGAATTTGTGGATCCTTTCAAAGCCTCATAATAAATACCACCACCGCCAGACTGCGAGGCTGTTACCGAAGTGCCGCGCATATATTGACGCCGCCATTGATTCGTTAGGTTACTATGATGATCATCCCTATCGTGAAGAGGTTCCTCCTCAACATCTCTTAACACATGTACATCCGTCAAAGGTTTATGCATTTTAAGAATACACGAAATCCTTTACTCAAATGTGGATATTATCGCACTATTCCCGTTAACGTTTTAAAGGTTTCAAATTGTAAGTCGCACTGAAATTTAATTTAAAGTTTTCGTGAAATGACATTCAATCGTAGTTAGTTCCTATATAGTTTGCTTGAGAATTATTTTAGCTAAATTATTTGTTTAAAAAATTTTTACCCTTTCGCAAGTGTTAATTAATATCAATTAAAGTCTCCCTAAGTCATATTAGTTAAAAAATTTCAATTTTTTTTTATTTATTTATTTATTTATCTTATTGACATATTTCATCATTATCCACTGATCGATTTAGTTGATGTATTTAAAGATTCAAATATATTTTTAAAGTTAACATTTTCTCGTACATAATGATTAAAAGCTTATTCCACTGCTTAAACGAACCATTTATGTACACACTTAAGTTAAATGTATAATAAAAAACTGAAGATAAGACAGTTTTTCTCGCCATTAAAACGTATTTCCTCCTATTGTTTACTAATTGGAAAAACAAATCAGAAAACTGTATTCGGGTGTCACCGAATCTTTATGTACACTAAATCCACTTTTGCCTTAAAAGGTAATAAAATAGAGCAAAAAAATAAATTCTTATATTCTATAGCGTTGGATGGGCGTGGTTGATATTATCCATTATTACGCGGGCCTTTCATCGAGATATCCTTTGCACTGTATCTTAATTTTTTGGACGGCAGAATGCTTGGCACAAAAATTTTATTAACAAGTGAATGGACAGACGGACGGATAGATAGCCGGACAGGCGAAATGGACATAGATAGATTCCGAATTAGATACCGACCAAGAATAGATACGCTTCATGGGGATTTGGAAACACCTTTCTGAACCTTACAGACCTTTTACAGACGAACGGCAGTTATAGAAATTATTTACACGCATGCATTAAGTAAAAGCTATACACAACGTAATTTTGCATGGAGTACTAATAATTCCGTATTCCATAACCACCACAGAAGGATAAGGGTATAGTGATATTGGAAAAATGCTTGTAATGTAGCTTCAAAGGCTGCGACGCATGCACACACCAATGCAACATAAGCAAGACATCAATTTTACGTAGAGGCGAGCCTGCGCTCATTGTTCGGATAGAACATAATGAAAGCATGACGTAAGCAAAAGGGCTAACATGAGCTAACATGAGCGCCCTTCCGTGCAAAATAGCCCGAAGAGCCTTTCACTTTCCATACACCAATCGTATATTGTAGCATATGTAGTCTCGATACGATGTTTTTGCAATTGTTCTTGTCATAAAAACATGGCGCAATGGCTTTGTTAAGGAAGAACCGTCTTAAGGCTCTGAACTAAAAGGAAGGCTCTGAATTAAAAGCATCGACAATTTCAACGCTTAAAAATTTGGAAACGAATCGAAAAGGATCAATCTCTTGATATATGTAATATTGGTCACACAACACAACACAACACAAACAAAGAAGAAATTTGTCACGAAGTCTGTCCTTTTGTAGAAAGCTTTCGAGCCGGCAGAAAACAAGCGGACGACTCATGAAATGAGGGACATGCTCAAATCAAAACGGATCAAAAATGCCTACACTTTGCAAGAGATCCGATGTCCAGTCATTGCATATATTTGTTATATCCGATATGCACTCTGTCATGAAAATAATCAGAAACGAAAAAATTTAAAAATCGCTGATGCTCTTTACAAGGTATAAGCGGTACTAAAAATTCCCTCATTCTACAAACTGCGATAATGATGTCAAACATGAGATAATTTACAACCTGACATAAGTTGTTAAAATTTTATCATATTTTACATATAAGTATGTATTTTTAGCGTTTGTTGCTTAATTTTATTACAATTTATTTATGGAATTTCTGGTTTAGTTTGTTTTTCAACTTTACCTACAACTCGCTTGGCGTTGGAAAGTCTTGCTATTCTGTGTTAGTCCATAGAGGGTGCTCGGACGATTAGGTATTATTGTGATTGGATAGGACTGAGGATTACTGAAAACGCTGTCCAATGAATCTGGTTCAGGTTCTATGGTAATCTGGCGCTGAAAACGTCCCGGATCGGCTAACGGTTCTAAAGCTGATTTGTCCGAGGTGGGAGTATCTTTACTCTCGCTCTCGGTAGAAGTGGAAGAATTGAAAAATTTTGCACGCATTTGCTTTAAAAGATCCATGTTCCCATGGAACAATCTGAAAAGAAAAAAAAAAGCATTTTTTTTTTTTTCCTTTTTTTTTAATTTAGTATATAGTTTAGAGAAGAAATATTGTGTAAAATGCTATCAAGTTTTCAATACATGAACTTTTCTCAAAGTAAATCTAAATTCTCACTCTTCTCTAATATAATTGTTACTACTAGTGCTAGTATTACTGCTGCTATCGTCACTTAGGCACTTGACTTACTATTGACATAAATACGATTGCTTGCCTTCTTATTTTATTTATTTTATTATAAAACATGGCCATATATAAATGTATGTTTGTTTACTTGATTTTTTTTTTATTTTTTTGCCTCCACATACGAAGAGGTTTTGATTGCTTAAAAAAATTGAAGTTCATTTAAGTATCGCTGGAAAAATTGTAAAAGCTTAAGTAATATTTTGAGTTTATTATCAAGGAAAAAAAAACTGCGTCAATTGAAAACTACTGCACCCCCTTTTTTTTTCTTTTTTTTTTTGAGAAATGTATTGAAAAAAATTCATGTCAGTCGGAGATTTACGATTTTAATTATCTACATTACGACGACATCTTACATGTCTATAAAGACGTGCTTAGAATTTATGGCGATACCAAGCTAAGATATGAAATGAGCGGCTTACGGTTTTAATTAATTTCAAATTAAATTTAATTTGAAACTAATCGCGTTAAATATGAAACGTCATGAACGTCATGCGTTTGTTTATACACCGCTGAACATTACAAATATTTCTAAAGCGTTGCGCAAAAATTATTCCATGAATCATTTTACAATTGCAAGAAAGGACTGAACAATGAAGTCTGGCATCGAAAACAAAATCTTGAAAATGTCAGTGAAATCTTATCAAAGGGTTGCAAATAACCATTAAATATTAATTACCCAGACACATGAGTATATAAAGCGTCGGTTCTATGGCCAGTGCTTTATTATTTAACAAAAAAAAAAATGTGTAGTGCGCAACGAACGACCATTTTTAGAAAACACATCTTTACACCGGTTCGCTTGGCACAGTTATTCACGTAACGACTTTTCAAAATCACTCCTTAAATGGGCAACGGTTCAAAGGACCGGTACAGTTTCCTTAAAATATGTCAGAAACGTGCGCCATGTAGGTTGAACGCAAGAACACAGAACGGACATACAGACAGACAAATTAAGATCGTAGAATGATTCGCAATCGATCGTTATAATAAAACGCGGGTCTGCGGCAAGTCCTTCTGGGTGCTGTATACAAACTTAATGTACGTTTACATTACAAGTTGTGTAGGGCATAAAATGCGTAAGAAGAACGAACCGAGGAAAATCTTTTTCTATAGAGTAGTTGATCTAAACTATTATCTAACGTAGTGTACAAAAAACTTTTTTTTGTCGAAATAAATTTTGGGTTTCGAGATACTATAATTAAAGGGTTTCATGTATAATACCTACCTTAGGTTGTGGGTACGAGCTGATAAGTTAGAAGAAATTCCGCTGAAGTTAATAAGGTTTTCTTACATGATTTCATAAAAATTACTTCCGTTTGTTTAGCGCATTATTTCCGTTTGTTTAACGCTTACAAGTTATTTAAGTTTCCTTTTGAATGACCTTGACCTTGGGAATTAGTTTTGGAATTTTTTCCTCTTTTTTGTTTTTTGTTTAAGTTCCTTGTAATAAAATTTTTAAGGGATTGATTAAAAATGATTTAAAGCATTTATAGATAACGAGAACGAATTTAGTTTGTTTTTAAAAAGTTTTCATTTCTTTTTTTGTTATTGACTTAGTATATAAACTAAATATCGCAAATGACGCGAAAATGAATACAAGTAAAAATTTAAAGAAAACTAAACGAAAAAACATTAGGTTTCGTTTCTCACTTCATGAAAACTTCGAAATGTTCGTCAGTTGACTTTTGGGTTAACACTTGTATGCGAATTTAATTTAAAACATTTTCTTAATAATAAAAACAAATATATAAATATATAAATATTAAATTATTAAATGTTGTACTCTAGATCAACACACACGATAATGTAATAAAAAATACGAGTACATTAAATCTTTATTGTTCGTTATTATTTTTTATGATTTGCTACCGTTATATTATGAAGATTTAATTTATGATTTATTTAGACACACACAATGCTTAGAGGAGGCGCTCGAACGGTCTAACAAAAACACCACACATGTCGTTATTCCGGACGTTAATAAATGACAACTGATACACAACTGATCGTTTAACTAGTGCCGTGTACATGATCCACGTTATAAAGAGAATTCAGACAAAATAAAAAAAATAAAAAACGAAAGAATATAAAAACAGAAGAACTTATTTGCAAACATATACAGACATATAGAGAATTTTAGAATAGTCGGAGGTACGCGGATAAAGAGTAGAAAACAAAAATACAAGCAAACAAATGAACGTAGAGTTGAACAACAATCAAACCGATGCGCCATCAAACAGTGAAATAAAAATGCTGTGGATTGTAAATTCTACACACAATGCAAACAATAATAGCTGTGTGTGCGCGGATGTATTTACCTTTCAACATTTATACGCCACCATGCACATACTCTCTCTTACATTCACTAGACCTACGCTTAGCTATTTAGCTATTATTGAGAGCAAACACAATTTTTTACTTTTCACCTAACAATTAAAATTGAGTTTTAATAACAAAAAATCATATGGAAATTGTTTAAAAATTCAAATATAAAAATAAATAAAAAAAAACTTTTTTGGGGGCGCGGCCCGTCATTAAACACCCTAGACTACTTCGTTTAATGCAGGCATTTTTCAACTTTCTTCCCAAAATAAGGTGTTACGGGTGGGAAGTGGTGGAAAAAGTCGCCCGATCCGAGCCATTTTCAGTGGCGTTCGTGCTTGCGCCAAAACACGTCGATGTACCAAATTCCATTAAAATATCTCAAAAATTGCGCCCTGTATGTTGAATGCAAGGCAAACATGCGGACACACGGACATACAACCTTAGCTCGATGCAAAAAGTGAAAGGTAGGTCTATCTCAAACTCTTCTGAGTGTTGCATACATCCGCTCAAACTTAACATACTTTCGTACCTCGAGTGATGCAGGCAGTGAGAATTTTGCCAGGAAACGCAAATTTTTAACAAGAAATCAAATATCAGACAACATTTTTAACGCAATAAGAAGATAATAATAAGGTGGTTTGAATATTATAGTCAGCTCGCGACCACAATTGTAATTCTCGTCACCTGCAACGAGCATTTTTCAATGCCTAAAGTTTAATGAAATTAGTCGCGTATGCGCATATAGAAGTGGACTTTAGGTAGCGCTTGAGGGAGCTTTTGATAAGGAAAAAATAAATAAATTTTTTGAGTAGAGAAAGTAAGCCGACTATCGTAATACGCGCCAACTCAGAAGTCAACAGTTGATCTTTATTCGCTTTCTATATACAAGCAGTTGAAAGTTAGCGGATTTGTCTCAGGATTATGAGATTTTGAGCTTTCATAATCTAAATCAAATAAAGTCTTCAAGTTGGTAAATTTTCTAATTGGGCATACACCTACTGGGCTGTGTCCCTTCTTCTTATCTTTCTCGCTTTCCCCAACTTCTTTCTGACCAACACCAGGCTACACATACCGTGGATATCCCCGGAGTCTTCGGTCATAAGACAAGCAGAAAAACACAAAATAAGAAGTAAACGAACCTTCATTCTGCTATGGTGGAACTAAAATATACATTTTTGATCGATATATGGCGGAGAGCTTTGCGATTTGCGATAAATATTCTGAAATGACTCACAGATAGGAAAAAGCTCTTATAGAAGGGTTTATAAAGGTCTTATAATAATCTTAAGCCCAAGGAAATAAAAGCAAAGAATAAAAGTGGAAAGCGTACTAGCAGCTAACTATTGGTTCTTCTTCTTTTTCTTCTTTCTTCTTCTTTCTTTTTTTGATTAGTTTAGCCACTTGAATAAAGTTCAATACCTTAATACTTGAAGTTCTCCGAAAACTTAAGTATTATTATTATTACTATATTTCGCCAGAGAAATACAAGTTGATGCCCTGATGACCTCAAAGAATTACCGTCTAAGGCTATCGAATTTTCATTGAGAACTCTACCGCGTTTGAGATTTGAGCCCACGTTCATTGAATTATTAGTCGAGATCCTTTGTCTATTTGGTCACTTAGGTGGATAGGGATGGGTGCTACAAACACTGACATTGACTGGTAATCGTCGTGGTACCTTTACTTCCGATCACCTTATTTGCTTTGACTTGTACTGCAAAAAGAAGATGAACTTAAGTGAAAGCAGGAATGTGAAGGAAAAATTTGTTCTCAGAAATGTTTTCTTTAATACATAAATTTTTTCTTTTTCTTAAACACTTGGATTTAAAAAAAAAAAATAAGCGACATCCTTGATATTTAATCATACTATTCATAAAAATAATTATTCTTTATCTCTTCCGTCATCTGCTTCTTTTTTTTTTTTAATTCGAAGCAATGTCAACGCATCAATGTGAGCGTGTGTCTATGTGTGTGTGTGTGTATGGATGTATGTATGTATATATATATATAGTACATAAAGGTAACCACGGCCATAGATAACGCTGTACCGAACTTTTGATAACCACTCGTTGGGAATGGTTTTACTTACCGTACATTCAAAAGCATAGTTATTTTGTTTTGGATATCAGTGAACATGTGACATGCTGGCAGATATTTAGATTTTTCATAAACGAAACGGCAGTGGCCGCTCGACAATGGCATTCTCATTTCTCATTTCATTTTTTTTTTTTTTTCAATTTTCTTTTATTATTTTATATATGTTTGCATGTATGCCTAATAGTGCGTTTAGTGAATACAATCCACAATTGAATATTAAGCAGATCCAAAAAATATGCAATGAAAATGCGAAAATTTTCTTTTAAACAGGAACAATATGTAAATACGGAGGTCTAACTCGTTACCCTCAAGCGCTAATAGAATATGTCGTAGGTAATATTAGAGGGAGAGAGATATGAATAATCGTATCCTTCTTCTTCCTCCTCCTTTTTATTATAATCAAATTCTGCGAAGTTTCCATATATGTTGTCCTTGCTTTCATAGCAAAAGCATTACTAACACAACCCGAAGGGAACGAATAACAATAGAGTTGTTACTTGTTACTTCTTCGAAAGAGAATGAAAAAGAATAGAGAAACCACTCGTGACTTTTATTGGTTGTAGAGAAAAATATTAAGAAGACGATCAGGGACAGGTAAGGAGCTTTTTTTCACTATTTGTTTGCCATGAACTCGACAAGCTGGTTTTTCGCTTTATTAGAAAAATTACATGGTACACAACCATGCACACAGTTTTTGTTACGTAGACCATTATACACAAGGACATGTAAATAGTTTCTTCTCTGCTGTATGAGTTACGGATATATTGATGAGGTACGAACTCCAATTGTTCTCATTGTATATATGGTTCAGCGGTGTTTTTATTGATCGAGTATAAACGGATTTAACGAACGGTAGTTTGCTAAGAACCTCTACTAAAACGAAAAACAAACTTTCGGATTCGTAGCAAGCAATCACAAAATCAGGGGCCGGTATATAGCTGTCTACTATCGAATCGCTGTAACGAGTAGCTTACAACTACCGTTTTCTTCGATGGAACCGCATTTTCTTCGATGGAAAGCAGACAGAAAGTTTTTTAGAGTCAGTTCCCCATCGTTTTATTAAAAATTTGTTTTTTGCAAAGAGAAAATGGAACTGATGACAACTCTGTGCTCACTCATCCTCTTTGAGCAGACGAGTACTTTTAATAATTCATGTAAAACTTGTGTAAGAGTGAAATAACATAGGGGCGAGAATAGAAGAGAAGACGATGCATAAGCTTAACATTTATTGTTAAAAAATTTCCTTTCGGTTTCTTTTGTGACTAGAAATATTTTCAAAATTACCAGAGTTATTTTCGCTTATGTCCTAATTAAATTAAAAGGGACCCATGTAATATAACATAAGAAGAAGGGTTAATACAGGTGAACCTGTAAAGAAAAGATTTAAAGTTTTTTTTCGTTCCAACTCAAGAATGCTTGCTTCGATTTAGACGAACTTTTAGCTTAGTGTAGATGTAGAGTTTAGAGTGGAGTAGTAGTATCTCTAATTTACCATTGAGCGCACCAATGAAATCCAAGGTATTTACTTCGTCTTGATGGCATCGAAAAAGAAAGGAAATAAGCGGGAAATCTATTTCTGGCTTACAGGCAAGCGAAGAGCTTAAGGAGAGAATAAGTAGAATAGTTAGCCCTTTTCCATAGTAACAAATTATAAGACAACTCTCTTCGTCTATATTTTGTGGTTTTCACCAAATGCCTTCAGAAGAAGGAATTGTATCGCAAATCTTTCTGATTGTTTGCATATACCTAAATAGTTGGCCATTTTGCTTTGCTGGTTCACGCCTTTAAAGGCGACTTTAATTTTAGAAATTGCAAATATTTTTTAAACTTTCTTTTTTAAAAAACGGCATGAGTCTTAGAAAAACAATTCCGTGTATGTGCAGCTCTGGTTGATTTTATCTCGGCTCACTTCCGCTAAAGACGAAAACATCGTGTCGCTTAACCATGCGGCAAAATGTTTGCTTTTATAGTAAACACTAAATAACTTTTTTGGTGAGTGTGCGCAGAAAAATTATGCGCGAGAGCAGAGCAATACTGTAAGTTAATGAGACAATACATTGCAAGGACGAGTATAAAAACTTACCGCATATTTTATGCTGTTAGCGTACCAAACAGATATATATATATTTTTTAATTTTTATCGTTTCCAACACTTGTAGTACAGAAGTATATTAATATTGTACGGCTGTACAATACTAATATGGACTTGAGACTCACTCGCCTTTTATTACACCGACCGACTCAAAGTCAGTTTCTGAACCGACCTAAGCCTGTCTCCAGTCAATTCACCCGTCTACCCGCCTGTCAGATAGAACAGATCCGTCTTTTTTTCTTATGTTCAACATACAAGTCGCAATTTTAGAAATATTTTGAGGAAGTTTTGGACCAAGGACGAGAGCTATTGAAAATGGTTCGGATAGGACAACTTTTTCGACCACTTCTCATGTAACACCTTATTATATATTATAGCAAAGTGGTGTAGGGTATTGAATGATGGACCGTGGCCCAAAAAGTGTGCGTACAATTCAACTGAAAGGCAACTGGAGTAAACACTTCGCTCTGTGATTATTGCCAGGAACAAGAGAAACCTACGAGCTACATGGACAATAACTGATCAGACAACTAAAAATGCCTCTTATTAACTTATGATCTAGAAGGCTATTAACAGATTGGCGATTGAGATCGAATAGTTTTCTAAAGATAGACCAGCATTGTACACTTGAGATAGCCTCGATACACTGACGAAGGAGAAGTCGTTGAAAATTTTTTATTTTAATTTGTTTATCATTCTTTCGTTATTGATCGGATATCGTGTTAACTTTAAGGATTAGAATATAGAAACAGAGAGAAATAAATCTATCTTCTGGAAAGGAATCGATTTAAAACACAAGCAAGAAGATCATATTAGGCCAGGGCCTACTATTTTATTTTACACCACTTTGCATAATAGAGCTATTCCTTGTAATGATTTTTCATAATATTGCCCTCTGGGGGAAGGGTTCGAAGAAATAGTCCGAATCGACACATGTCGTGCCCGAACTGGTATTAAGTATTAAAGTTTTGTGATAGCCTTGACCCAACTCGATGCATGCGAACTGGCGTACAACACATGAACTTAAAGCGAAGTCACATGCAATAGCTCAACCTCGTCCCAATCCTCCAGATAAACAAATAAATGCCTCTTATGGCGCTTCTATCGAATGACTTCATTTTTCTTGTCCTAAAAATTAAAAGCTGAAGTCAATTTCTTTTCCATTATTTTTTTTTTTTTTTTTTCTTTTCTATATATTTCAGGCAATTGATTTTTATTTTTCAACTTTTTTGTTTTAAATATTTACTTGTTTCGCCAAAAAAAATGTAAACGATAATCTTACTCATCAAACCATAAACTAAATATTAGTAAACAAATGTTTTTTGGTTTTTTTTTTTTTTTGTTAAATTTTTATTCTAAATACATTTCTTTGTGTGTTTGCGTGTGTGTGTGTATATATCCATTTTTTTTTTTTAAAGTTATTGTCCATTTTGAAAAGAAAATTCCTAATATTAACTATACATAGTAAAAAGAAAATAACAAAAAATAATACCACAAGAGGTTTTATACATACACATACATATATATATATATATATATATATATATATATATTATACACAATTGTATCTAACTAAAACTGGACAATAATTTGTGAATTTGTTCATTGAGGTTAGGAAGAAGGAAGAAGAAGTAAAAGAAAAACTACAGGCAAGCAGTGCACAATAAATTCGTTTCAGTGTTTAATAAAATTAATTAAAGCTGCGATTCTATTTTATATTTAACTGTTGTATTTATACTAAGTGATTTGTCGGCGATTAATAAATGGAAAGTGTACGAGAGAGTTGATCTTTATCTAGTTTGAAGTTTTGCTGAGTTTGAATTTTTCTAAAAAAAACTGAACGTAGAATACCCTTTTACACGAATACAAGTTACGATTTTATGGCTTTTCGGATATATTCAGATTTCATATGGGATCGATCCGTTGTTATTCTTTAAAATTAAAATTTAAATTCATATAGTTTTCCTCTATTTTTGTTTTTTTTTTTCTCAATATTTAATGTTTACAATAATTACTTATGCTTAGCTTAAGCTCAATTTTTAAATATATTAAATACATTTATATAAAAAATATGGCCTTTTTCTGATCAATTAATTTTCTGTTAAAAAATAAAATTAAAGAATAAAAAATTAGTTTAGTTCCGTCCGTCCCCCCTATATATATTTTTGTATTATTTATTATATAATTTGACTTATTCAATTTTTCTTTTACTTGGATTTGGTTTTCTTCTTTTTACAAATATTTTATAAACTATCAGCACAACGAATCTCTGGGTAACTGATCTTGCTTTATGGAAAGACGTCGCGTATTAGAAACTTTTGTTTTTGCATTCTGCATTATTGTACTACTGTTATGATTATTGTTATTGTTATGGTTTTTGTTGTTATTATTGTGATGACTAATGGAATTTGTTTTCTCATTAATACTTTTATAGTTATTTGTAGTAATGGTTGGTATTATTTTCGAACCACCCATAGTAAATGACGGCGTGTTGTTGTTATTATTATTATTATTATTGTTATTATTTGTTAAGGGCTCCAAGTCAGCTGCCAGCAGATGACCATTGGGTATGGAATTAGATCGCATTTGTAAACGATTTGAATCTAAACTCTCATCACTGGCGGGCTCCATATGATCGACCAGTGACGAGGGCGAGGAGGATATGTGTTGCAGCAAACCGGCTGATAAGGCACGATCTGTAAGCAAACGAAGCAACTATTAATTAAACACAGTTGAAAGATTCTAATATCGATTATAGAATAGAAAAAAGTCTTGATGTCCTTCCGCATCATTCCTAGTTAACGTCCATCTTGTATTGGGCGAGTAAATTCTTAACAAGGAACCTATTCATAGAGATATCGGCAGATTATAGCTGACTCTGACTAACTCTTCGAGAAGTGTACGCGGATCTATTCCCCTATTTGCTAAGAACACCGAAAGAAAAAAATGTAAGAGTATTTTTTATCTTCAATAATAAGTGTTAGAAAATATTGTTATTATTACTATTGAGATCAGAGATCAGAAGAATATATGCTAGAACTAAAGTTAGATTCCCCACCATATTTATTATTGTTATTATAATTAACTTCGCCAGAGAAACATATTCTTAAAGCAATAGCATCCCCCACGAGCGTTGCGTTATTAGTCGAGATCCTTTGCCTGTTTGGTCACTCGGTCTCTGTTTTTTTACTAAAGTCGTACTTCTAGTAACGCAATGGAAACTGATCTTAAACATTTTTTACATGCACGGATTCTGGCGAAGAATAAGAAAATTGATTTAAAATTTATTAGCAGCGTCTCCGAATGCATAAAGTAAATTTCATTCGCTTAAACAAAGAACATAAGACTACTGCAGAGTAGAAAATGCGGGAAAGTCAGGAAACTCAGAGAGGCTAAAAAATAAATCAGTGATTCAAATGATGAGGAGATACTAACTGTCAAAGAGGCCGATAAAGAGGCCGAAAGAATAATCCACTATGCCCTTTTTGTCCTTTTCGATCAGCTGCTTAGTTTGCAAGACAGTAAACGTTGATGCAATCGGTACTAAAAAATTAAAAAACTTCTTTGGTCTCTTCACCTACCAAAGCCGGTTTTATTATTCTTGGCGTAATCGAGTTTGAGATCGTCCAATTCCTTAGCTGAACACAAGGGCGTATCCACGTCATAAGTATTGTTGAATAAGGTATAATCCACTTCGTATTCTCCAGTATCTTTACGGAATGATACAACGTTGACAAAACGATGTCCCCACAAAATCTCTGAAGGTAAATAGCTACTACGAGCTTGTGTTGTCATCCCCGTCGATTCAATAACACCTTCTGTAAAGTCCAGAGCACGTTATAAATTCTTGAAAAAAAAAAAAAAAATGTATATACATTGAGAACTCACCTAACATGCACACAACTTCAAAACGTTCCTTGAGCATATCGGAAGCTGATAACATGTACAAAGGACTATTACAGTCTATCTTATGCACTATGGTTGTAGGCCATATGAACATCAAGCGATCTTCACCGCCATCAGCACCAACTTGTAACTCTTGCTGATAGAAAGGTAACACTTCACCTTCTTTAGTAACCTAAAGTGAAGAAACAAATGTGATAAGAAAAAAAATTACCTTTAAGTTAAATCATCTTTCTTCACTTGCCTTTTTTCTGATTATCTGGGCTCTTACGTGAGCCTCAATTATGTGCGATTTTCGCATATCACCCACGCGAAACATTAAACATGGCACACCATCTCGATGGCATATCACAGCATTTCGGGAGAATAGCAGGGTTTGTGCTCGTTTCTTGGGCCGCGATAGTTTCGCAAATACTATGCCAACCATAAATGCTTGTATAAATACACCCATAATGCATTGCAGACAAATGGTAAAAATGGCTTCGGGACACTCTTCCGTTACAAATCGATTGCCGTAACCGATTGTGTGTTGAGTTTCAATGGAATACAAAAATGCTGAAGTGAAACTCCTCACTTCCGTTACACACATACGATGCGTTTGATTTTGTATTAATTCTGGCTGATAATCACGCATATATATCCATTCGAGGTCACCGTGTGCATAGGCAATCGTCCACCAGATGAAACCAAAAAATGCCCACGATATGAGAAAACTTAAAGCGAATACTAACAATGTCCAGCGCCACTGTGCATCCACAAGTGTGGTAAAGATGTCCTAAAACAAATCAATTAAGAAAGTCTTTGGGTTAATATTGACATTCAGTCGTCTTACGAAAAGTACGCATCGCATTCATTGCGTTTTGCGAACATTTTCGCAAACTCACCGCTAGAAATCTTTTCAACGCCAAAGTAAAAGTTTAAAGTATGGCCTCACAAGTCCTTTAAACACATAAAACCTCAGCAAAAGTGAAGCCTTTATAATATATATATATATAATATAACTGATCCCCTTCAGCAAATTGCTATCTATTCACTAATTATATGATCGTATGATCATATTCTACCTTTTTTACTGCAACACATTTACAATTCATTCCTATTTACTTATTATTTATCATTATCATTGAATAGATTTCTTCTTCTTCCTATATTGTACATTTTCGATCGAGTTTCATCTTCCATTAATTGTTTCGCTATTAATTATCTAGTTAACACTTTCTGTTAGCTTTTTTCCTTGTTTTTTTTTTTTTTTATTTTTTTTTTTTATTCAAGCAAACAGTTGTTAATCGTTATCTAACAACCGTACAGGTGCTAAGAGAAGATCGAATTTTTATATCTAAACCAAAGTTATGACGTTAAAAGGTGTAAACCGATGGCAGTGAACTTGTTCTCATTCATTCCATTCACTATGGCGGACCAAATCTGATTTTACTCAGTAAATATCTCCTATGTGCGTATACAAAAGAAATGGGAAGAGAGTAATAGGATGCGGCCGGTATCCTGGCCACATCAATCGTAATTAAAGTATGGCCCACCACAATGGAAATTGAACGGAATTGATGATCGAGCTTCTTAACCACTAGACTACGCGAACGTTCTTAGTGATAATGGGCACCACCGAAATCCCAAGCCAGGAATACTACTGACTTTTTCCTTCTCTCTGTGCACACAATTGAACATTGGACCACCAATATGTCCACGCCTACAGGGTGGCTGATCAGTTTGGACTTAGGGCACACAATTATACTGAACAGACAGTATTGAAATGTTTGCTAGAGTTCATGGTGATCTGATTATTCAAATACAACGTCTTCCTTTAAAATATCTCGTCAGATAGATGAACCACGTAAACCCTTTTCCAGCCCAATCTTCTAAATGAAGCCAACGAGATAAAAAGGTTAACAGATGCTCTGGATCTTTCATTCAGAAATGAATCTATTTTTGTTCCTTAAACTGGTTCTTGCCTAGTTCCCTTCTGGAAGTGATTCCTTTTTGGAACTTTCAGTCAGAAATGAATCTATTTTTGTTCATTAAATTGTCTTAATGAATCTTCCAAGTTTGTGCAGTTTACATTTATTTATTTGCATTGTTATATTATCCCCATTGGGGGACACTATCCACACCTTACCATAAAATTTATTGTTTTGAATATATTGCAATATTAATAATAAGAAAGGTAAGAGAATGATAAGAAACAAAACAGAACAAAAGGAAAAGTTTGAACAGCAAAAGTAGAAAGAACAAGCTGGACAACGCAGATCTAACCGAGAATGAGTATTGAAAAGAAACACGAAATTGTAAATATTTTCATCCATAGCGTACATCTATCTAAAATTTTTCACTCTAAAAGTCAAGGCAACTATCTGACCTATAAGAATGACTGCAATTAACGAAGACTTCTTTGCTTGGAATAACGGAACAGTCACAAATCGTTGAGTGATAATCCGGAAATGTGAGATCCGGATCACCGTGAACTCTCTTCCAACTCTCTTCATTTTAAGTTGAAAAAGTAAATGGAGGCATTTCTGTCAAGCTTGGAATTCACAACGTCTTGAATATTTTAAATTTAAACGCTCGCACACACACCGTGAAATACTTCGCAGGCCATCTTCAGGCTTAGAAAAGTGTATAAAACGCTTACCCCGTAACTTATTTTGTAGCAGAAGAAAATTATATAATCTTAGTACACTTATATCGGGCACGCGGAATAGTATCCATATACCGAAACATCTCTACACATGTGTATATATACATAAAAATAAAATGGAAAAATCCAATCCGCTCACAAAACATTTTAGCCAATTTGAGTTAGTTTGAACTGCTTCTAACCAGATTCACACACCTTTGTGTGTATACGTGTGGATATGTGTATGCGAACACAGTTGATATACGGAATAGTCATCAAGACGTGTAAATTTCAATAAGAAAATATTTTTAAAATAGAAAAAACAAAAGTTATAGCAGTTGATTATTCAATTCGCTTGAAATTTCAATCAAAAGCAGATGAAAGGCATTTAAGAAGAAATAAATCAATTAGAAAACAACTAAGAATATTGCGTTAGCCCCACTTTGAGGCGATTCTTGAATACTAATAGCCACAAAATTTTTTGTTAATAAACACGAGCTTGCAATGCAAAGTCGATTGCGATCATTTTTCGCCCTTATTGCTGGAACGGCTTCGTAAACGTAAGTACAATAAGTTCTAGTCAAGATCAGGTGCATTTTACTCAAGGAAAGCCTATGCGTACAAATCAGCCACAAACAAGAGAGAAGAATGAGTTTTGTTAAATCGCTTATAACTAACCTCTTCTGCTAATTGCACTTACATTTACCTCAGGGGAAATTAGAGCTTATTCCTCTTGTCTACGTTCGGAAAGCTATTGCACAAGTAAAAATAAAATCAAGTATTGAAAGGAGCCCCTTCATCACCAAATAGCAATCACTTTGGATAAATATCCGAAGTGAACATTGTATTTAAAGAGAACACACTTGTTAGCTGCTGCAATATCTAACCTAAAACCTAGTCTTGGACTATCTTCTCATTTCACTTTTCTAATTTGTGTTCGCTGGTTGTAGTATTGAGCATGAAGTTGACGAAATTGAGTTGAGTTTTTCCATCAGCACTCACCTGCAGATATCTACGCCGTCTTTTCGCTACGTTTCCTTGCACCACGTTGCAATCACCATGCTTGAATATTACACGTTTTCTTACACGTCGCGAACTGAATCGTGTCTGGCGATACCTGCAAGACAACAAACAGACAAATGGAAAAACATTGTAAAATTTTCCACAACATACGTCATTAAAATACATACACACAAAAAAGAGATTAAAATTTAATATAGCTGTCTAGGAACAATACTGTCTGCTACGACTACCCTGTCACAGTTGTAAAGAAATGCTATAAGAATTAATAGATTGATGAACAATATATTTACGATAATAATTCAATTCAGCAGGAATTTCTTCTACGGATTTAAACGCTTCATTTTTATACCCTACACCACTTGTGCGAATGAGTGTATTAAGTTTGTGCGGACGTACATAACAACGGGAGGGGCTTAAGACCGATCCGCCTTTTGTTACACCAATCGAGTCAGAATCATTTTTGAATTGATCTAAGCACTTTGGGTAATTTGTGTTTAACCTAAAGGTCGCAATTGTGGCACAAGGACAACGCTATTGAAAATGGTCCCGATTAGTCCACTTTTTCGCCCACAAATGTTCAAAACTTTATGAAACAGCCTGTTGAGTAATAGCACTTTGACATTACAAATTAGTATGAAAGCCTTGATTCGCCTGGAGCGATTTTTTGAACCCGCCCTCGTATAACAGTTGTTTCGAAATGTGAATTTTTGTATGTTAAAAAGGTATAATTATCGGTATTTTATCTGAAGTGAAAATTAGTTCGTAAGAGTGAATTGATGAAGAAGTCAATGTTACTGCATTTGGACCATGTTGGTCTATTTTTTTGGAAACCACAGCATATAAGAATACTCAGGATGAAAATTTGTAGATGATAGTAATTTGACATAAAAATTAAGTGGACCACATTTAATGCACAGGGGTCTATTTCATGGATCCCGTCCTATATAAGATTTCTCATGGACAGTAAGTCATTCACACAAAGGTTTAATATAGCAATTCAGCAAAAAAATCAACAGTAAGGAAATTGGACCAGATAGGTCGATTTCCTAGACCCCAGCATAAATAGGGGTTACCGTGAAAAGCAAGCCTTTCTAGCGAAGAACTTGTATGAATTTTTATGATTTTTACAAAGTAGGGAATGCTTCGGGAATGCTTCGGGAATGCTTCGGGCATCCTCCAATCTGCAGACATTTGAGAAAAAGTATGCCTTTGCAGGTAAATAATGTGCAATTTTTGGTGTTTTGCTATCGAAAAGAGTTATTCACTCTTTTGTACTAGGCGAAGTTGTACAGGGTATCTAATGGTCGACCTTGCCCATCTATAATGAGCTTACTTCTTTTTTTTTTTTTTTTTTTTTTTTTTTTGCAATAACGTTCAACATAATTAAATTCACTGAAATGATTACAAATTGAATTGATTAAGAAATTAAAGAGAAAAGAAAATTTAATAAATATTTATTAAATGTAAATGTTCTTTGTTTGATTACGCGCGATATGTTTCAAGTCTTTAAGTGTTTTCTGAATTCTTCTAAATTTATTGTTCATTTTATATAAGTTTTCATTTAGAATAATGTTATGGTTTCTCATCAATTATATAACGCTGGAAACGTGCTGTAATTAAAAACAAATCCATTATTCATTCTTTACGTATAATTTATATTATTAAATTTATTTCTCTCTCTATCGCTCCCTTCGCTTATATTCGTGGCAACAGTTTAAGCGTGAAAGACAAACAAAGGTGTGTTTGTTTATGATAATAAGTTGAAAGCTGTTTAAATTATTACTCTACAACGCAACTCTATTAAATTATGGGAAACGAAACAAAGGGACAATGGTTCAAAAAGAACTCCAGCGTCAATTGTAGGCGGTTATGTAAAATGCAAATGAATAAAATTATAATTCATTATAATAAATAATCACTAATTAGAATATAATTGCGACTCGTTGAGATATCACGTGTAATTTATTAGGAAAAACTTTTCTTCAATTGCAAACAATGGAATTGATTTTGAATATTAGAAAAAGATGAAACAAAGCAATTAACAAATAAGCTGCAACAAGTAATGCTATAGCGAATTTTCAATCCGTAGCATCTGCTCTTTGTCTTCCGTTACCCTCCTCCTTCCCTTACTCTCTTCAATTAAGCTTTACGACGATGATGGTTGTGTGGCTTATAGAATCCACAATTTTCTTTGCTATGATCCCAATCGAGGTTCAAGCAAGCAATTTTGCTACTCAGTCTTCAACTGTGAGTCACAGCGTCCACCCAATCTCTGCATAGTGAAAATTTCTTTCAAAGTGGTGTAAGTTCATTTTTATCAAATGGTACTTAATGGGAACAATGAACGCAATGTGCTATGAGCTTTTCATCCGTAAACAGATTCCAAAAAAAAACCTAGAAAATTTTCATGGCTTTGTTACGTAATTGGCGGACCTCCAAACAAAATTACTTTACAAGTGTCAAAAATTATGTTACATAAGATGGATCTATTATCCCTTATCATCTTCATCACTTTCCTTCTACGCATCTCTCCCATACTCTCAAAAACTTTCACATAATGAACGAAATGAAAAAATTTCAAATATTAATATGAAGTTGTGGTTAAAGTAATTTATATGGCATTACCTGCAGAGATATTCACATAAATTCTTCTTATTTTGCTTTCTTAACCTATTTAGTAAACGTTTCATAAAAACTTTGGTTTGATTTAATTGAAATCCCATATTTAATATTTCATTAATGTTTGATTTTCATAAGTTGTTAACTTCGAAAGTGGTGCAAGTCCATTTCAGGCCATCAAAACTATAAATTTCTTTTAACTAATGCATTAAAAATGATTCTCTTATCGGCTTAAACAAACTGCTTTAAGAAACATTAAATGGTCATATTACTTAAGCCGATATTCGTCAAATATTATCCATATACAAACCAGTAGCGTAAAGTAGATCTACAACACTTTGCAAGAAAACGTTTTATATTGTACAAAAAAGATGCTTCACAAATGGAATATTTTTAACCTTTTGCTAACAAAGGAGAAAAGTGAAAAGTCCAGTATTTTTTGAAAATCGAATTGGAGGTTAGGGCAAATCTTTTATAAAAGAAGTAGCACTTCTTCTTTGGAAGGATTTTCAATGCTTACAAGCTTAATGAACTTAGTGTTGCGTCTTAGGTTGTATTAATCGAAGCAAACCTTGATAAGAATTTATGTCGAACTTTTAGTCTCCGCTTATTATATTTCGCAAGTTAAAGATAAGAGGGTATAAAAATTTGCTTGAACGGTCTCAGTTCTTCAAGTAATTTAAACGTGTTTCAGTTTAAAACTTAGACTCAAAAGCCGCCCTACTAATTGAAAAAGAGCAATGAAATGACGACGGAAACGCTTCAAATGACTTTTCATTGGGTTTGCAAAAACAAATCACAAATTTAAAGATATTTTTTACTTTAGCGGCGGAAAGTGTGCAAGAAAAATAATTTACCTAACATCAAATCAAATATTTGGAATAAAACAAGTGAAAAGACTAAAGGGTGCCGCGGCTAACCATAAAACGCCCTACACCAACCTACAGTTATTCATAAAATGACTTTTGAAAGTGGTCTGATGTGAGCCATTTGCAATAGCGTTTAGTCCTTAGTCCAAAATACGGCAAAGTACCAAATTTCTAAGATGGGCGTACGGACAGACAAGTTAGATTACGAGTGTGGTTTTGGGTGTTGCATTCGTCCGCAACGAACCGTTGTCCACAATGAAATATCCCACGTTAACCCGCAATTGTTTATATAACGACTTTTCAAAGTGGTCGGATACGGGCCATTTTCTATAGTGTTCGTCCTTGACTTAAGACACGTCAAAGTGCACCATATTTAATCAAAATATCTTAAAAATTGCGGAACACAAGGCGGTCGTATGAATAGAAAAGTTTAGATTAAGAATGTGATTCTAAATCGCTCGGGGTGATCCTCGGTTCTTGCACGCGTTCACTCAAATTTAAGATACCGTTGGCTATCAAGATTGACAAAGCACTTGAAATATATATTAAGGAAACTTTCTTTCCTTTCTTTATTCAACCCCAGCAGAGATGATTGAATCATAAAAAAAAAAGAGTTATAATAGTAAAAATAAGAAAAAAATTCCCTTTAAAGATCAGTCAAAAAAAAAAAAAAAAAAAATTCTCCTATCACGTCTACATATACGTAATGGAAACAAACGGACTAAAACTAAATAAATACAGTAAGCAAAATGCGAATTATCCTCGGGTAACGTTCGAATTACTTAATGACTTAAGAGAACCTTGAGCATCCTCATATCCTTGAGTCTTAGTCGATACACATAATTCTTTGAATGCAAAAGTTACGGTTACGCAAAGCGTATGAATTGCTCTGTGAAATAACAATCAAGCGAGAAATAAGTGAAAAGCAAATCTGCGTAATAATATTCCAAAGGCTACCAATTAACCATGATTTAAAAAGAAAAGAGAGTGCGAGTGTAGGGATAATGGGAGAGGGAGTTGAGAGGTGATGTATACAACACAGACTTTATGAAAGACAGCATTTTGAGATTAAGATCTGTTTAACATATATGCAAATATTACGAGTGTTTGTACATGTGTTAACTTCTCCTATTAAGTACTTAGCAAGCGCAGGCTAACTGTTTGTTATGAGTTCATGCACATATCGTACACTAGCTGTTAAAGTATAAATGATGAAATAATCCGGATTGCTACTATGTATTGCCCGTCCGGATCTAAACAGACATGCATACATGCATACATTTTAACTCGCAATCATGCAAAACATAAATTAATTACGATCCAAATAAGCTAAAGCAGTCCAAGTAAATGACTAGGGATTAGAATCCAAGATGAAAAAAAAAAAAAAAAAAAAAAAAAAAAAAAAACACTCAAGTCTGTGCTTAATGCAATTTATCATAAATTTAAATCAAGATAAGAAAGACACGAAAAAAAATTTACCAAAATATATATAAAATTTGTGAAATAAAAAATTTGAGAAACAACAATAAAACCAAACCGATTATAAGCAGCATGATAGCAGCGGGAAATGTAAAAAATAAAAAGTAATAAAAAACAATAAAAATTA